TACAGCGGCCTCTTCTCCATCCCACCCCCGCCCCAGCAGACTCTATGGTGACAACAGAGGACAGCGCGTGAGTCACCAAACTTGGAGCCAGAATTTGAATCTTGGCACCTTCACTTCCTTACTGTGAGACTTGACAAGTTAATGGACCTTTATATGCCTCAGTTTCCTCAGCTGTAGCGCGGGGATGAAGAAAATAATAACACCCACCTTGAGCGTTACTATGAAGAATAAATTAGTGAATATATGGAGAACTCTTAGAGGTGTACCTGGTATCATGTTTGGCAATTCTTATTATTAATCCTTTCCACCCAGAAAACAATGCAAGTTTCTCTGAATGGAGTAGAGAGAGGGCAAGGAGAGAAAAGAGAAGCATGTGAGAATTCTGATGGAATTCTAATGGAATTTTAAAGATGGAAAATAAATAAAATACAGACTTGTATAATTGACCATCAACTCAAACCTTCTGCCCAAAACATTCAAGTAGCAAAGTTTCTTCAAGTGTAGAATATTATACTTAAATTTGAAGTCAAGTGATCGTGTTTAATTACCCTTATCTGAAACCAAGTATGCGCCTGTTCTTTTGAACAGTTCTAAGTTCCTGCTCTAAGTTCCATGCAGCTCTGTCCAGCAGAGCCTTCTGAGATGACGGGAATGTTCTCCAACCTGCACTGTCCACTACGATAGCCACTAGCCACACACAGCTCTTGAGCACTTGAAGGTGGCCAACATAACTGAGGAAATGAATTTTTTATTTCATTTAATACTGGTTATTTTAAATTTAAATAGCCACTTGTGGCTAGCAGCTACCCTACGGAGGCGGTGCAGCTACCAGAGATGTGAGCGCACCCGCTCACTCGCTCACTCGCTCACTCCCTGCCCCTCTCTCTCACTCCAGCCATCAACACTCACAAGGCCAAACTGCTGTTTCACAGCTCCATGGCTCTGCGGATGGCCTTCTTGGCCTGAAAGGCCCTTCCTCACCATCCACCTCTAAGTTCATGACAATTTTGCTCAGATTTCATTTCTTCCGGGCAACCGTCCTCAACCCCAGCCCTCCAGGCCTACGTCCCCTCACTGCCAACACCATCCAGCACTGTCTGCTCTGTGCTTCCCTGAATCTGTTTCTGCTGCTCTGTCGTTGTCATTTATCCCTGTGACGCTAACAGACTAGGGGAATTTTAAGGCCCAGGTCTTCTCCATCGCTTCGTTCTAGGGATGTGTGTCCATCACATAATACGTGTACCGTAAGTGTTTGCTGAGCACATTATTAATTTGTGAATATGTGCAGTGTTTTGTTAAAATAAGCCTCAAAATAGCAACAGTCAGTCTATGATTATATAGATCAAATTCTACTTGGAAGGCCTATTTTCAAATAATAAAAGCTTTTTAGAGTCTCAGGTGAAGGTGTACTTATTTTAGGCCATATCACTAGAACACGCCAGGACCAATGCAAGCATATAAATGTCCCCTGGCACGAAAGCCTACCTGTAGCTGTTCCTCCTAAGGGTCTGGAAGTCTCTTGGATTTCAGAAACTGACCCTGTCATTGATCTGTCCCCTGGGCTTGCCGTGACTTACTAGGGAGACAGTGACATGGTTGAAAAGCAAGACAAGAGGAGCTGATTATGGTCACAGTCATATGGGAATTCAAGGGTGACCTATGCTTGCTGCATCCTCTACCCAAACTCACCTCCAAGAAGGAAACCATTGAAATCTTGTCTAACATGAAAAATAAAGGCTGTGGGCGATCAATATCTGTTCAGTGACATATGCTATCTCAAAAAAGTACTTCCCTTATTCCTTAACAAAACTTTTTTGCTCAAAAAAAAACACCCTTCCTTGTTAAATTATGTAGCATCTGTTGCAAGATTAACCTGCCCTGAGAGCCACCCTGTTTCATTTTTTTTTCATCACAATTTTCTGACTAATCCTTTATTTGGATTCCCACCCAAGTGTTCCTACACTTAGAATGAGCTCTTGATGGATACGCTTCTGTGAACCTAATTTGTATGAGCGATTTCCCAAGCACCAAGCATCTGGTGAGAGTATTTTACAAATTATATCTTTCCTGCCCTTCAGGAACTTACAGTTCAATAAGACAAGCGGATAAATATACAGTGACCAGAAACGCATATTTGTTGTGGGTACAGGCGTGGCAACAGGGCATTGAAGAAACGGATTTCAGAAAGAACAATGAATCCAAAGGACTTTATCTTCAAATCAGATTTAGATTTGACTTTTGTTTTCTCATTAATTATGTGGTTGTGTTTTAAAATGCACAGGCAGCACTTTTGAATGTAATGAACATTGATTTAACAAATGATTGAGTGACATGGGGCTGTATGATCATTTAGATAAATCTCTAATTTTCCCATAATATGGGCAGATTTTGCACAGTCTTTTCTCTAAAGGCTTCTCTTTCCCCTTGCCCAGCACATATCTCCCAGAATTTTAATCTGAGACGTTCCCCCAAAAGACAAAGGCCTAACATATCTTTCGAGGCTGCTAATGAATACTATGAGATAAATATCTTTCCCTAAGATGCCTGTCTTAAATTTAAATATAGGAATATCAATTTCTTTTTTTTTACTCCCTTCTAAAATCTGCCAATTTAGGAAGAACCTTGATTACGTCTACAAATTTATGTTCTATGTTATTGGAATTGCTTGTGAATTCTACTAATATAAGATACACATATTTCCAAAATGTGTCTATTGTTGCTTAGGAAAGGAAGATCTAGCTCTCAAATATTATGCTTTGAGGTTAAAAATGAAGATAGTGACCTTACGTCTCTCAAGATTTGTAAGGCTGGCATGCCATCTATCTCAATAATACCTAACAAGAATGTCAAATGGACAGAAACGGCCATGGTAAGCGGGTGCTTGCAGCTGACAGTGATTGCTGTATTTTGGGTGATGGGGAACATCATCTCCATTAGTTCAAGTGAAATACAATGTCCTGCCAACTTTAGGTAGCAATGTATTCAATCCCCCTGCCGTGCCATGTCCATTTGCTGTTGCTGCAATTAAAAATCAGTCGATACAAAGTCAAAATGTTGTCCACTCTTCCCCTACCCCTTTCCCTGTCACTGCATTCCCAGCTTCACCGGAAGAATATGTTACTATGGTAACCAATCTCTCTGGTGCACAGACCAAGTTAACCTTTCTAGCCAGATTGCCACGCAAAGCAACATGGAATCAAAGCCCTCAAGAGAACCACCAGAAGATATGGATCCCATCCCCCTTTTTCTAAGCGGTGTTAACCAATACCAGACAGAAGGAGACCCATCTTGTCACAAGAGACATTTAAGAAAGGAAATTCAAGAATGTCCTTCAGCAAGCCCTAACACTGCCTATCAGTCATGATTAACATGAATTCTTCCTCCCCTTTCAGCCAACTTCCCACCATTTCTATTCTGCTAAAAGTGGAAAACAACAAACGAAGGAACACTTCATGAATCTGAAAATCGGCAAATTGTTACAAAGTCACCATTGTCAAAAACTATCCTGGTTTCTCTTGTTTTCCTACTTTTAAATCCAAACCAAGTTACCCTCTTCTGGAATTCTCTAATATCCTGTACATCTTTACAAAGTTGTAGAACTCCCACTCAGTCAGCCTGCTCCAAACAGGGGACTAATCATGAAGCAGTTGCGATGTCTGTAATATTAAGACACTAATAACTGAATTAGCTAAACCTCCTAGTCATTGTACAGACAGTACAAAATAAACATTCAGATGAATTCTCTTTCTGGACTTAACTAAATCTGACGAGCTACCTAGATCATACCCACTGCCTGTCATTCTTCAACGATTGGTTCTTTTTTCAAATTACCAATTTTCCTGATCAATTTCAATATTTTTATAAATCAAGAACATCAGCTCTCACAAATAATATTTTAAAACAGAAGCAAACCTGTATTATAATATTAAGAGACGTGAAGAACTGTTTTCTATCTTGGGCTCAAAGACTTTGCAGCTAACAACATCATTTTCACCTTGGCGTCAGCATTTAATAGTTTAAGAGAATGAAACACAGCAGAGAAAAAAATGAAGACTCATAAAAATCACACCACATCTTCCAGCATGCAACTACCATATGAGAGAATGTATTCTCTTCTTCAGAGCAATATTAATAGTACATCCAAACATATTTCAGCGGACTAATAGAACAGGGTGTTCCCCACAGCATAAACCATGCAAGGTTTACAAACTGCATGAGATGAACAGACTTTTAAAAATGTAGGCGATCATACGAAAGTATCAAAGAAATTTTTATCATTAGCAAATGCAGTCTGTTTTCCGTTTTAGAATACTTTAGGTATTTTTTATATAAATCTTCTGAAAACGGTCATTTTTTTTTTCCTCTAAAGCAAGGAACTACTTTGTGTGTGTTTATCAGGCCCTGTTAAAATTCGATGCACACAAGTCACTTTTGTCAACCACTTCCCCAAAAGGAGAAACCAAGAATCCGTTCGATACTACTGGTCAACAGGCCTGGAGCTACAATGGGGCAGGGGCTGTGATTTATCAGTGTTTCTATGACCAATGCCTGCACCGTGCCCGGCAGAGCCTAGCACTTAGCAAACGTCTGTGGCGTGAATGAGGCCTTCTCGGTGAGCTGTTTCTCCTGAATCAGTTCAACATCGAAAACAGAGATTAAAACCAGGCGGCTGTCTGCCTGACACATCGTTCTCAAAGGGGCTTCCTCTGCGAACAACACAGGCGACAGATCCCCTCCCTTCTCAGAGGCTGATGAAGCATTATCCTGGATTAAAAAACCCCGGACCACGGTATTCCACGGAGCTCCCACCGGAGAGGTCAGCCTCCCCCACCAGCTACCGGGAGGCAAGTTCCGGCAGCTCCAAGGCTCAGCAGGGCCTGGACCACCCGACCTGTTAGCGGGAGGCCGGCGAGCGGGTGGCCAGGCTAAGGGAGGGGAGGGTGGCCGGGCCTGGAGGCGCCCGGCTCCCCGCAGCGCCGCGCCGCGCGCCGCGCGCTTACCTTTCCGAATGAGGGCTGCGATCTCGGGGTCGAAGCCCTGCCGGTGGCACTTCCTCCAGAGGCCCATGTTGGTGGAGTTGTACTGCCGGCTGCACTCGTCCACCGGGCTCATGGCGAAGAGCTGCCGGCGATTCCGGGCCCGGAGGAGTTTGCCCTCCCAGCGGTCCAGGCGGGAGCGGCTCGCCCGGAGCGGCAAGTTGTTGTTGTTGTTGTAAATGAAGCCCGGGTCGATCCGGCGGGTGTTGAAGGCCTTGCACCTGTCCCTGTGCTTCCTGGCGTCCGTCTCGTACCAGTGGTCCGAGCAGATGGCCACGGCCAGCATGCCGAGGGCGCAGAGCGCTAGCGAGAGGCCCGTATAGAGCAGTAACCTTCCGGCAGCCATGCCTCCGCTTGGCGGCTACACCATGGGCATGATCCGCCGCAGCCTCGCCTTCCCTCCGCGCGCCCGGAACAAAGCGGCGGGCGGCCGAGCCAAGGGGGAGGGGGACCCGCGGGGGCCTCGCGCGGCGGCGCCCCCTCGCCCCCGCCTGCCGGTGCGCGGCCCGGGGACTGCGGGGATGGGGGCGGGCAGCCTACAAAGTTCTGATCCGGGGAGGCTCCGGCTGGCTCCTGGGCATCCTCCGGGGCAGGTGCAGCCTCCGGCGGCAGCGAGCGGACAGGACCGCCTCCCGCCCCCTCCCTGCCCGGCAGGAAGCGACTGCCCCGAACCGGCCGCGTCGGCACACAGCCGGACTCCGGGCGCCGCTGCCCTCGGGCCGGAACCTAAACACCAAGTGTCCGCGGCCGCAGTGGCGCCGCTGGGCTTTCTCTGTGCAGGGTGGCGACAGCACCCACTCGCCTGGCCTTTTCTTGGGGTGGGGGGGTGGCGGCTCTCACGAGTTGCCGCGCGAAGACAGAATGAACTCCAGCACCCGCGACGAGGCCGGCCAACGAAGGAAACCCCCAGATGCCAGGGCCGCCTGCCCTGAGTCCCGCCTGGGTCTCCCACTCAGCGACTCTCCCCCTTCCGATCTGCAAACGAAGAAATGTTCTCCCTCTCTGAGTCGGCTCTTTTGAAAAATCTCCGTCCTCTGGTCACCGGTAGGTCCCTTGCTGCCTGGCCAGCGCGCTGTGCTCAGAGGCGGGCTCCCCGTGGGCGCACGGTCGCGGCCACCCTTTCCGCGCGAGCTCCCGGGTCTTCTGCTTCTGGCCTCGCCATTCAGGAGGCCCCTCGGGCACACGGCGCGGTCACTCGGACGGCGCAACCGGACGAGCCTCGGCCCGCGGTTAGGGGCGAAGGGGCGGCAGCCGGCGGGCTCGAGAGACAGGCTGCGCGGAGGAGGGTGCACCCCGCAGGGCGCACGGCGCGGCGCGCGCGGGGCTCGGCGCGCGGTGCCTTCAACACCATGGACAGGTCGCGCGATCGGGGCTCCCCGCCAGCCCGGCAGCCAGCCCCCGGGGCGTCATGCTGGTCTCCCCCGCGCAGTCTCCTTCCTGAGTATCCACCCGAGAGGTGCCAGACCCGCCTCTCCCGCGATGCCTCTGCCTCACTTCATCTGGCTCCCAAGTAGCCCCGGGAACCTGCCGCCCAGGTGCAAAGAAAATGCTGCAGGCACCGAGGAAAACAGCGTCCTGGCCGTTCCAAACAATCCGCCCCCTTCTCCCGCCACAGCCGGGCACTGTAGCTGTCTGCTCTGCCCAACCGGGGTCAGCCGCTCTCAGAATGCACCATTTTCTTCGCAGCCCGCCCAGGAGCCGAGGTGCCGGCTCATCGGCGGCGCGCGGAGAGAATCCCGTCCCGGCCTCAGCGTCCCGCGATCAGGCTCCCGGCGCACGGCGGCTGCCGAGGTGAATGGGGCGAGGGTGGGGGAGGGAGGCTGGGGCGCTGGGCTTCCCCTCCCTGCCTCCTCCTCTAGCCGCGGCGGCTCCGGGGCCTCGCGGGCTCGGCGGGTGCTGGGCAGCCGGAGCCCAGGCTGCGCCCGGGGTGCTCGGGAAATCGCATCGCCCGGGTGCGGGCGCCGGAGGAAGCCGCTGCCGCGCTCGCTCGCTCGCTCGCTCGGGCGCCGGGCGCTGCAGCCTTGGCTAAAACCCACAGACGAGAGAACGGAGCGCGCAGCCAAAAGCTAGTGATGTCATCCGTGCAACGTGAGCCTCATCTCTTATTTTTCTAGCATCCTTAAAGATAAACTGCACCATTTCCCAGGCACGAAATGTCTAAGCCTTAGTCTTTGACCGGGCAAGTCAATGGTGTCTAGGTAGGTATGTGCCCAGCCGTATCCATATTTATGCACACATACATGTATGTGGTATGTAGCATGTTTCCATGCATTATTATAAATTTAGGGATGATGTCCCCATCTCCTGCTTATCTCTTTTTGGTGGTGGAAAATTCCCTCACATCGACCACAGTTCTTTAAAGACTGCTTATTGCGGAGTCGGCATTCAGAGGGGCTGAGGAAGTTCCCTGCGTCCCCACTTTTGGTCGCTGGTATCTAGGATCACATTTGATCTTTGTTTTCCCCAGAAAGCCACCGGCGCTACCTTGCAATCTCCAGCCCCCCAACGCCCCCGGGGCCGGGTGCGTCGCTGGGGTTGCCACGGCCAACCCGACTCTAGCCCCACGCCAGCTCCAGACACCCCGACACACGCCCACCTCCACCTGCCACCACCTCCCTCCCCAGCAGGAAAGAAGAAAGGAAACTGATGCTTTCAAGACCAGAGGAAGAGAATGTTAATGGGTGTGGGGGGCAGGGGGTACTTAACAGGTATTTTGAAAGCGTCCGGGGGCTCGCGCTTTGAGGAGGGGAGGTTAAATGAAAACCTCGGTGAGGGATTTGTCCTCATCTGGGTGGCGGCTGGATTTAGGCTCGGCGGGGGCGCTGGGAGGCAGGGCGCGACCCTAGCTCTTGAGCGGGTGGGCCCCAAGTGAGCCCCAGTTCATTCCAGAAACGCCCCCCACCCCCACGGCCCGGCTCACGTGAGACCGCGCCGCAAAGGCTGGGAGCCTCCCTCCCAGGTTGAAAGCCTGTTGTTGTTTTTTCTTTCTAATACTCGCCCCTCATTCTCACCCTTACTCCAAAGCTGGGGGCCCGCACCGCGGGGTAAAGAGCTGCCCTGCGGAGGGGAAGAAAAGAGTGTCCGGCACCCTGCTTAGCACAACGCGGCCTGCGAGCCAGAAAGAGCGCACCTCCACCATATTCTTTTTGTCTTTTTTCATCCTCCCTGCAGTTTGAAAATCGGGAACGAGGCGTTTCAGTGCCATCTAGTGGGGGAGGGGCGTGCCTCGCCTTCCGTCCCTGGATGCGGCAACGGGTTTCGCTGAAGGGGACAGCAGAACCTGAGGATGTCCGCTGGGTTCTTGGGGGGCCGGCTGGCCCAGGGGCTGTAAGGCCTGTGCCGTTGGCCAGCTCCCGATCCCCTTGGTTCCCTAGGACGGCGAGGCGGAGCCCAGAGACTTGGCCCGGTGTGGTCTCACCTTCCTGTCCACCTTCACCACTTCCCTCTCCCCCAACCTGAAAATGTGGAAACAAGCGCAAACACTTTGCACGCTTGTAGGCGAGGTCTGTAATTCCTGGACCTACTTTATTCTGGAAAGCCGAGAGCACTTTCAGGCTAAGCGGATGCCTGTGTCTGACCACAGGGAGGAGGCAGAAAGGTGAAATGATGCCTACAAGGTCATTCAGCAAGCTGGGGCACGTCCAGCAGCCGGAGCCTCACTCTCCTGATTGACTCTGGAGCCCCCCTGGCAGCCCAGGCAGTTACCCTTTTGGCAATAAAGGTACCTGTTCATTTTATCTTTATCTGTCCTTCCTCTTCCGTTATTCCATCTCTTCTTGTTCTTCCTTTGTAACTGTTTCTCCAGGCCTGTGCCTTAGGCCTGCTTCCAACGGTGTGTCTTGCCCTTTGTCTCTCCGTCCTCCTGAGCTGTCCTGTGATTAGGGCCCTGCTGTGGGTAAAGGGCCCTAAATGGCACACTGTCCCCCTCTTTGCCCAACATCATTAAAACGCTATCTTGAAAATTTTGGCCTTGGTGACATCCCAAAAGCCTTTTAAAGATGTCGTTTTGAGGCCTCCTTTGAAATGCAGTCTTCCTGGACAGTACTAACTACTCCATTTGAGGAAGAGCCTCATCTTTGGTGCTGAAAAGATGGGGGATTCCTCCTCCAGACTGTATAACCACTTGACCTTCTTTTCTTAATTGTGTGATCTATGTTTCTTCCCTCTGCCTTCTTCCAGTTCCTTCCACCCTGTAAGCTATGCATCACTTTCTCACTTAGTTCTTCCGATTCAAACCTACTGTCCTAGGATCACAGAATCCCAAAATTGGAAGGGATTTTAGAGTCTACCACCAAAAAAATGCATGACTCTCTCCTAGAACATTTCCCAAAAAGTAATTGGCCAGCTTCTGCTTGCATACCTGCAGTGTTAGGGAAATCACTCCCTTGGCAAGTACCCCATTCTACTTTCAGACAGTATAAATGGTTAGACAGTCTTTCCTTATACTGAGTCTTCTCCTAGATCCCTATAAACCTACCCCTTGGCCTTCAAGAAGCCCAGACACCTGATTCCTCTCCCGTTTAATGGTCCTTCTCATACTTGACCTTGGCCATCATGTTCTCCCTAAGCCTTCTTCCCTCCAGACTAAATACCCCCTTGTTTATTTTCTCCTTGAGCTTGCTGCTCCTGGGTTTCTGATTCTTCCTGTTTATTAGTGCTTCATGTATCTAACTGTCAAGTCAGCCGATAAAGAAAAAACATGGTCAGTCATGTTTTCACATGACCCGTGTACAGTTCTAATCTTCACTTTCTCTGCCAGGACCTTCTCTACAACTCATCCCTTTTGAACGCTACCCTAGGATCTGCCACAAAATAACATAGAGATCGTTGGTTTGCAGTTTGTGAAATCCACACTGTTGACATTTGGAATTTCACTTGCTCACACACAGCCTTCCCCCTTTCGCTAACCAGTGTTCACATTCTTCCAGCTTTCTCTAAGGTCAACAAAAGAAATACAGAGATATCACTAAAAGTTCTGTTTCCTGTGTTACAGGTCACCCAGAGCGGATAGCTGCTTTCCTATCATTTCTTCACCCATTGGGAGCTATCCTCAGTTATCATATTTGTTCTACTCTACACCCTACCTTTAATCTGAAAATCACTCTCCTTGACATTGTCTATTGGAAGCAAAATAAAAGTTGATTAGTTGTGCTTTCTCTTTGCCATCTATCAATATGCCATCATGCTATGTATACTGACTCCTGTTTTCCTAATTAACTTTGCACAACTTGGACATTACTTGAAACCCAAGAGTCATCTTCCACTGTAGCCTTCCTGACAGTCCCTCCAGGATGTGACATGCTGCTATTTATGCTTAAATAGCTACTCTTCTCCTTACACTTCCACTCATCACAGAGCCACATTTGTTTGTTTAGTGACTTTCCTTCTTTTCTTCCTTATTAGGGTCATTATAGCAAAAGGCCATTTTCATCTCACCCCTGGCAGTCTAAGTCCTCTCCTTACTTTATAGTCTTCTTCCCCCACCACCCACCATGTTAATTTTCTTATATTCTACAGTTATCCTTTACCCAAAGTTCTGCAGTAATTTCATCTTGCCTGTACAGTGAAGCTCAAACTCTTTACCCCCATAAAAGGTGTCACAAAGGCTTCAGACTATTTCCTTTTTTTTTTCCTTTTTTTTAATGCTTTTTCTAAATATTTTATTTATTTCTGAGAGGGAGAGAGAGAGACAGCATGAGCAGGGGAGGGTCAGAGAGAGAGGGAGACACAGAATCCTTTTTTTTAATGCTTATTTTTGAGAGAGACAGAGAGAGACAGAGCACAAGCAGGGGAGGGGAGGACCGTGACAGTGAGACACAGAA